CAATATGGGAGAGAGCCCTAGTCTGCCATTTAAATACCGTTCCCATTATTTCCCTGTGATTGTGTCCTGGATGGAGAAATCTCACTTAGCAGAGAGATCAGCCCTTACACCTGCTCCAGGCTCAACCCTAAAGCGAAAAGTAAGGTATGTGTATAAGGTATGTGTATAAGCAGCTACCTAGCCCTTTCCATAAAGTTATTAATTCCTTCATTTAAAAAGAATGTTAACTTCGGTGTGTCCCTGTGTCGGGCTGTGCTGGGCACTGAGAATAAAGGGTGGGAAAGGACACAGCGCGTGCTTCCAGGAGTTCTCCTGAGCCACGGGAGACATGACAGCACACGACAGAACGCACGCCCTGCAGCAGGACACCAGCCTGGAGAAGGAAGGACTGGAGAAGGATTCTCAGTAAGGCTGACACCTGAGATGAGTCTCAAACAGATGAAGAAGACAAGAGGAGAAAGTCTGCCCCGAATGGAGGAGGAGCGAGGGGTGTCCTCCGAGTCTATTCCGGAGCAGTAAACAGGTGCACAGGGCTGCAGGGAAGGGCTTGTGCGCATGCCCGACAATTATCCCCAGACCACGTCGCTAACTCTCCAGATGGACTGAAGGGGGCCCCCGCCGAGGGTGGAGACCACCTCAAAGCAATTAATTTGACAGCCTGTGGGACCTAGATTCAACCCCACCCCATCGTTTACTCACTGTGTGACCTTGGGCACACTACTTGCCCCCTCTGAGTATTTGTTATTTTGATGTGTAAAGTGGGGATAATTACAATGGTGCCCCACCCCAGGAAGGCTGAGAGGACCGAATGACACCCTGAATGGACAATGTGTGGCCTGATACGGGCAGATGGTTACTGGCCCTCTACAGAATGAGCGGCATTGCCTGGAAGAAAACATTTTCTTTCTCCATATGTTCTACTTTTACCACATTCTTTGGCGATGGCTTATTTGCCTATCTGTCTCTACTTCAGACTCCTCAAAGATCAGGAGAGGGTCTGGTTCATTTCTAGCATCCAGCCCATGACCTAAATCATAGAAAGTGCTCCAAAAAGATTATTGATTACAAATAGCATCAAATCATACACAAAACACACTTGTGTGTAGGTCTGTGTGTGTCTCTGTGTGTGTTTTTGTGTACCTGATGACCCTACAGGAACATATCAGACCCCAGGGAGCTGCGGGCCTCAGACACAGCATGGAGATTAGAGAGACCAAAGATATTAGGGAGAGCCTAGCAGACCTACGCATCTGTACCAAGCCCCCCAGAATTACATTTCACAAAAATTGTGGCTCCAACATCCCCTGTTGTGACTTGTTCCTTCTTTCATTCAACAGAAACTTAACAGGCAAATCTTGTAAGCTAGACAGCGAGCTGGGTGCTTAGAAATATTTAGAGGCAGGGAAAAAAAATAAAACCACTTTTGCTCTCAAAATGTTCATAATCTAGGGAGAAAGATAAGGAAGTAAGGAGATTATTTCATTATAGCAGGGTGAACCCTTGCAAGGAAATAAGAGAAGTAGAGTCAGGAAGAAGGTGCCAAGGAAGGTCTTCTGCAAATATGTCCCTCTAAATCTTAAAACATTGGTAGCATCAGGCAAACAAAAGCAGCACAGAACAGTGTTCCAAGCAGAAGGAACAGCATGTGCAAAGGCGTAAAAGATAAGGAAGGACTTTGTACACTACCCAGACTGTATGAAGTTCAGAGTGTCTGTAGGAACAGTGCAAGGCAGGGTAATGCCAGTGGACAAGGCTACAGAGAACACCAGGGGCTCTAAAGCAAAGGGCCTTTTGTGCCTAAAAGTAACTGGGAGTCACTGAAGCATTTTAAGCAAAAGCATAGCACAGTCATATTTGCATTTTATAAATATCACTCTGTTCGCATGTCAGAAAGAGAGTGAATAAGAAATAAGAAAGAGAGTGAAGGTTTAGGAAACATGTCAGGGGAAACCTACCAGACTCATGTTTTGCCTGTGGTGGACCTCACATCTAGTATCATCAAGCCAAAATAATAACTCAGAAATCATCTCTTCTAACCCTCTTGTCACAGAGATGAGAAAACCTATTTTCAAGGGATGTAAAGTAGTTTATCCAAACTATCTTTTTAAATTGTAAATGAAATAAAAAACTCTGTCCCTCAGTTCAGTCCTCCCAGGTCCCACTACCCACTGCCCTTTTGCTGGCATTTCTGCTAGGTGGGTTCCCTTCTGCGGATATAATTCAGGGAAGATCTTCTTCAGTGGCTGGAAACAGTTACCAATTTGAGAGCTAGTAGGAATATCTATTCTATGAACATGAAAAAGAATTTAAGTGGTTTTGTACATGGTTGCATAGTGATAAAAAGTTAAACCCTTTTAAACCAGAGATTATGCTTGAGCTCCTAATACTATTTAAATTACAACTCCCAAATCTTGAATGATGTAACACTCTAAAGTCCAAATGCTGCTTTCCTCTTTTTTTTTTTTTTTTAATTCTGTCCATCACATGGAAGTTACTTAACATGACAGAAGGCAACACGGCTCAATTGCCCTGGTAACAAAACCTTAGAGGGGTTCTCTGTGCTGTAATACTCACCATCCCCTCAATCCTCTATAAAAATAAACAGGTTGATTACGGAATGTTTCTACCCAGGAAATCACAAAGAAATCCACAGAGGTGCATCTGATCCATGTAATACTACAATCTCATGATCTACTGCATTAGTTCCTTCAAACAACAACAGTAACCAGATCGTGCAGATCACCAGGTCCTAGTTTTCACAGCCCAGGGGCAACCAGTCATCAGCTCATTATTTCTGAAACAAATTTTGCAAGGTATAAGTAGATCTCATAGACTCAAACAGCATGGCTAGGTTAATTTAGTCAGTATCTAGTGATAAATTAAGGCAATCATCTTAAGCACGCAGATATTAACAGCCACTTGCTTCTGGAATACCAGATACCCACAGCAAAAGAAAACAGTGTCTGGGAAAATCCTGAACCACAAGTCCTAAAAGTCCTTTCCGTTTGCTTCAAACCAACATACAAGATGACACATGACAAGCAGCCTCATTATTACCGATGCAATAAATATTGTCGTTGACCCCTTTAAAGCAAAGATCCTATAGAGAACCTGTGAGCCCCACATTTCACTTCTCCCTACCCTTATAGACATTGGTTTCATTTAAGCCCTCACAAGAACCTGCGTGTTTATTTCCATGTCACAAATGGGTGAGCAGGCTCAGAGAAGAACAGACACCTGTTCACCCTCACACAGCCTGAAGGAGGTAGCTGCAAGGTGAACCCAGGTCTGTCTGAAACAAAACCTGTGTTTTCTGCCAACCAGGCCCCCACATGGGAACTGGCTCCTAGGGGTAGAAGGATCCAGGTGAAATGCTGCTGGTGCAGGCCAGGGAGGGAATCGGGCGAGGACGGAGCCCCAGAGAGTGGAGAAATCATAAAGTCCCTGAAGTTAGATCACATGTTGATTGGCTTTTTGGAGCGATCCCTCCACCAAAAATGCGGATGCAGAGGTTTTGTTCCTCCCATTTAATCAGTCCGGACAAGTAAGACTCAGAGACTGTCACTGCTTTGCTCCCAAGAGAAAGCAGTGACTTTTCCACGCACACCCGAAACCTCCCGGCTGAAGCCTCATGCTCAGTCCCCCTTCCAGAGGACTTCCTGTTGTTCAATCACCTGTAGGAGCTCTGAGTCTATTTCACCAGGAAAGGCATCTTCTTAGATAGAAAGAGAAAAAGAATACCTCTTTTAAATTTTCTCTACCTTGCTAAAGTGTTTCACAATTTTATTTGGCATTATGAAGCCTTATCATGATAGCTAAAAATGAAATAAAAATCATACTGTAATTTTGCATTTATGGTTATAAATCAAATTCTCAGAAAGATTCTATCAGTAAAATCAACACTTCATAAGGTACTTTTACTTATGTGCCAGGAACCCAAAGTACAGTCTCACCCGGGGTGTACCGAATTTTACAATTCTTTTAATAGAGTTTCTAGACATATCATTTATTTTTCACTCTGCCAGTGAAATAAATAGCGAAGGCTTTTGTGCCACTTTTCCTTGGTTGGACAATGACAACCCTGAGTGTCATAGCTGGTGCTCCTGGACTACTAATTAAGGAACAAAATTAAACTGCAAAGAATAAAGATATCCAGAAAGTCAGGAAGCAGAAAGAACAGGCTTCATGCTTTATGGGTGTTCATTCTAGATATGTTCATTATATGCCAAAGCCTTGGGAAGGCAAATATGGAATTTAAAAAGACACCATCTGTTGTGTGATGTTCCAAATTATAAACTTAACCCTAATTTCTATATCCCCTGCTGTTCGGTCGTTCTCCTTATTCAGGATGGAAGAAAGAAAGAAAGAAAGAAAGAAAGGAAGGAAGGAAGGAAGGAAGGGAGGAAGGAAGGAAGGAAGGGAAGGAAGAGATTAGCACATTAACTAGGCAGGTTTAGCAGAATTGATGGATATGCCCCGTAAGATATTTGGAAAAGCCCAACATTACAACCTATATATTTTCTCCGGAAAGAAATTCTTGTTTTATTTTCTTCTTAAAACAAACACTACCCATAAATACAGTGTTTGCCGTAGCTGACGGTCCACACCCACCACAGCAGGCAAGCCACAGTCCTTTCTGTGATTTTTCTATTACTTAATATCTAGGGGCTCTTTGAAAGAAAAAGCAGAGATTTTTGGAAAGCTTTCAAATCTGTGAAATGAAAAGTAGAGTAATCCCTCAAGTGAAGAGAGTTTCTTTTTAAAAAATGTGGTGTTTTTTTTTAGACCAAAAAAAAAACCCCCACAGGAGTGTGTAGTCCAAATCAAAAACACTTCCTGTTTAAATAGTCCAAGGCAACCTGTGGCATCCATAACAGGAGAGATTTGCATTAAAAAGAAAAGCAAAAGTCAGTTATCCTCAAAAACGCCCATGTTTTCTTACTCATAAGTCTGAAATAGCCCTGATTTTAAAACACACTTAACAAATAGGACACAGCTCATTCAGGATTGATTTGAGTTCACAAAATAATTTTATTATATGTAAGAAAGCATACAGGCAATAAAATGAAGAAACATTCACAATGCATAAATAACACGGACCTGATGCAGGAGACACTTTTCAGTAGATTTCCTTCTTGGTACCCATGTCACCTAACTGCTGTGTAAATTGCTTATCAACAAGGATACCCTGTAAACATTTCAAAGAAATTCTCTTGAAATGCCCCCACATGATGAGTATCTGGCAGGAGAGACTCGGGATACTTTATACAGTTGAGCTGATGAGATAGGAACTTGATTCCGAAGCACAGAGAAGGAGCTAGCATTTGTCAAATGAGATACTGGTGGCTTTGGGGCACTTAACACACCCAAAGAGAAAGGGTCTCCTGTTTTTTCCACCAAGAGAAATGTCTAACTCGAGGATGATAATGAGGCACTATTCATTAGTCAGTATACTATTAACATTTAGACTTTTAAAAAAATCGATTCTAAATTCAGATTAAAGCACTACAAAAAGTCGCCCCACTGAATGGTGTGATTTGGCCTGGTAAGATACAGATGCAGGATTTGACTTCTGTCCATCGGTAACACTGTTGCAATGCAAGAATTAAAGATACCTACTGTCTTCATACACATATCCAACCAGGACAGCCATGTGTTTGGTTCAGAAAAGCTATCTGACACTGAAATGAGAAAAGACGCAGAGGGCCAAGTATTTTACATAAATACAAAGTGGCACATACTTTTTATTACCCCCTAAGATCATAAATTTCAAGTCAGATCTTTCTTAAGCTGGCTTTTACTTAAGATATTTACAGAATGGCAAATCTTTGTCCTGGGGAAGTCCTGTCATTCAAAAAAACGTGAACATAATAGTAGCTATGCCTTCTTATTTTTCAAAATCTTTCTAGAAGAAAAAAATTCACAGCATTTGTCAGTTCCCACCTCGTATTTATTTATGCCAAAGAATTTTAAGGAATTATCACAACTTCATTTCCTATCAACCTTGGCTGTGTCTCTGGAAGTTATATATGAGTATTTAGAATCTCAGAGTTTCTCTGTTTGTTTCATTGGCCAATAAAGTGCTAGTTACATGGACGAAATGTGACTATAAGTTCTCAGTAACTTATTAGTTTATCCTATAACATCTGATAAATATAGATTTATTCAATAAATTAAAAATATCCGTATAATACAGTAAATAAATAAAACCAATATCAACAAAGCATCTCTCAAGTCCAAAAAAAAATCCCACTCCTACTGTAAGGCTCAATTATTTTTTAGAAATAATTTATGAAGGCATGCACCTACCTTTACAATCTGAAAACTCTCCTTGGACCAGTGTTAGCACCTGTTTGTACACAACAAACTCAACCCTTCTCATCTCCTTCCGGGAGAGGATCAACTTTTTAAGCGATGCTGTTCATTGTTGATTCTGCGCCCTATTTTTCAAGTCCTAAGATAAGAATCAGTTTCTAAAAATAATTTTGGAGCCAAAGACACATCCCTGTGAACGTTCACTTCACATATGTCCCTCTTGGATTCACTATGAACAACAAAGAAAACACGTTGGAATGTATTTTAAAATATAGTTAGTTGTGTGTTGAAGGAAAAGCAGCAGAGGAGGGCTCGCCTGACATCTGAGTCTCACCACACCTCGCAAGCCACTGAAAATCTCCTCCAGCTTTTGGGCTGAGCCTGTCTGGCCAGATTCATCTCAGGCTTCAGGTTGGATGCTGTCCGTTTTGTGTGATGGGCTGGATCTTCTCTAGAGAGACATCAGTGTCATAGTCCAAAATGACAGATAGGGCCGGGGACAGCTTCTCCAAGGGTTTGGCCATTCCACCTGCTTCCTCCTTCTTCAGATCCTCGGAGGAGCCCACTGCATGTGGGATCAGATAAACCAGATTGCAGTCCTTGGAAATGGAGCCTCGAGGCTCGTGATGGCTGGAAAACACCACAGCCCCATTGTTATTGATGCTAACTGTCTCTATGGCATTATTCGTGGTAGGGCAAAGCCTGTAGCATCCTAAAAGAGTTGAAAATGCCTTCCGAAAATCGGCATTAAAGGCATAAATGATGGGGTTCAAGGAAGAATTAGCCCACCCAAACCACACAAACACATCAAAGGTGATGGAATCAATGCAGAAGGGCTTGGTCTCCCCAGACCCACAGAAGGGCACCATGCAGTTCAAGACGAAGAAAGGAAGCCAGCAGCACACAAAGACCCCCATGATCACAGACAGAGTCTTGAGAACTTTAGTCTCTCTTTTGAAGGACATCTTAAAGGAGCTTTCTGGTTGAGAACACTCCACAGGGTTTCCATTACCTGTAGTGGTCTGGCAATTCTTGGCATGGACTGCTGCCCTCTCCAAGGCTGAGATGCGCCGTATCTGTTTCTGGGCGATCCTATAGATCCTGGTGTAGGTGACAATCATGATGGCCACAGGGATATAAAAGCTTATTAGGGAGGATGAAATGGCATAGGTCCTGCTTAAGCTGGAATCACAGTTGTCCAGGGTGTCATCCAGGGAAGTGGCGTTCCCATCGGAGGAGATCGTGGGCTTCGCCTTGTGCCAGCTGAGCTGCACAGGGATGAAGGAGATGAGGACAGACAAGGTCCACGCCACGCTGATCAGAATGAAGGCTGCCTTGGGAGTCATCTTTCTCTCGTACCGGAAGGGGCTGGAGATGGCCCAGTACCTGTCCACGCTGATCACACAGAGGTTGAGGATGGACGCCGTGGAGCACATAATGTCAAAGGCCACCCAGATGTTACAGAAGGACCCAAAGGGCCAGAAGCCAGCGATCTCTGCCACCGCTTTCCAGGGCATGACCAAGACAGCCACCAAGAGATCCGACACTGCCAAGGAGATGACAAAGAAGTTGGTCACCTTGGACCGCAGGTGTCGGAACCTGATGACAGCGGCACAGACCAGCGTGTTCCCCAGGAGTGTGGACAGGATGAGCAGAGACAGGAAACAGGCTGTAAGGATGCGGAAGGAGAAGTCTCTCTCTACCACCAGCCCAGCCCCATCCATGGTAGAGGTGTTCAGAGTCCTCATCTTGCCGAGGGAGAGCACATAGGGGGCTCTGACCCCCTCCAGTTCCTAAGCAGGGATAAGGGGTGGGTCGGACCTGCACGAGTTCTCACTCACCAGGCAGTCCCTGGCACAGCCCCGCCGGGTCCCCTGGGTGGAGGACCTCACCAGCATTCCATCAGAGGGCTGTAACAATTGCGTGGCAGGAGCCTGCCTTTGGCAATGCACGTCAGCCCCTTGGAAGGTTCCTCTTGCTGGCTGTGAGTGTCTGCTGACTCCCTTGCTCCAGGCCACTGTCCTGTTGACCAGCTGGCCCTTCAGTCCTCCATGGAAGGCATTGGCTTTTCAGCATATTCTAAGCTATCCATCCAGAGACTCCCAGGCCTCTGCGGATCTAGGCAATTGTAGTCATATTTGGGGGCTGTTGCCTCTCTGGTGGTGACGGAATTCTCCCCTTTTGAAGGTGCAGCTGAAAATACACGCCTCGCTCCTCCAAGCCCCTGGCTCCACCGCAGCTCTCCAAACGCCCTTAAAAAAGCAAAAAGAAAGCAAAGGTTGCTCGCCAGAACTTGAACGGATCACAGCTTTATGCGTACCAAACCCACTTCAACTCCATCCAAGCCACCTACCTTGCCTTGAGGTTGTCTTTCGCAAAGCACCCCCCACCCCGAGCTCGGAAAGCGGGCTTCGCCAGGCGCCGAGGCTCCACAACGCCCCGGAGGCGCGCAGGAGTCCTGCCCGGGGCGCGCACCCGGGGTCTGGCTCCTGATGCGCAAAAATCGCAGGGCAGGTTTGGGAAATGATCCCAGGCCAGGTCCCACAGGACCGGCGCTGCCCTACTCCCTCCAAAGGCTAAAGATCGTTCAAAGCCGAAGGAGACACCTGGGAAAGGGGCTCCGGGACCTCCGAGAGAGGGCACCTCCGGGGCTAGTCACTTGGAGAGCTCCTTCCCTTCGCTGCCTTTTTGCCAGAACCGAGCAGCCGGGGGCCCCTCGGGTGGCCTCTGGCCCCTTGGGGCCAGGCTCTGCGCCTCTCCACCGCGCTGTCCGCTACCTCCCGGGAGCCCGTGGGAACGCCAGGCAGAGAGAGCCGAGCTGGCACCGGAGGGCGCACGGGCCAGCCGGGTTCCCGTGGGGCACAGCCCACCCCGCCCCCGTGTCCCCTCCCCTGCCCTGGGGGCGGGCTTCTCTTGACAGGCAGAGTTTCGGGCGACAGCCGCACAAGGTTCCCTGGATGATGCCGCGGGCGAAACAGGGAGTGGGGGGAGGGAGGGGAGCCCAGGTAAGCGGTCTCACGCCCTGGGTTACCGGCTAACCCCCGGACCCTCGGACCCCCGGACAGCACGCGACAGGGCCCGCCAGACGTTAGAACCTCAAGGAAGCCCGAGTCGCCTGAAAGCTAAGCTCGGCCGACCGACATTCAGTGGGGTCGACCCCTAGCCCTTCCCAAAGACCGAAGCAAGCAGGACCCCGCCCACTCTCCCACACACCAAGCCCTGGAACCGCCTGCGTCCAACCTGCTCCAACCTGCGCTGTCTCCAAGTGTCCCCCAACTAGGGTGAGGCGCGCCGAGCCGGCGCAGGTACTCACCGCTGTCGGAGACGGCTCGGCGCGGCGGCACGCTTGGCAGGTGCGCTGCGCTGCGCGCTGAGGGCGCTCACTTCCAGCTCCGCCCCGGCAGCGGGCGCTTGGCGGGCCTGGGTCAACGCCGGACTGCAGCCTGTGCCCCGCAACCGGAGAGCGCCCCAACCCCAGCACCACGAGCTCGGCAGGCCCGGGGCGCCCTCTGCCGGCGGCGGCGGCTTCCCAGGGCCCCGCTGCGCGTTGGCAGGTACAAACCTCACCCGCCCAGGCTCCCGGATTTACGCTAGACCCCCGCTGTGACCGGCACTTCCCGGACCGTGACTGCCAGAACCTGGAAAATGGGATGCTCAGTATTCCACATTTTAGGGCTCATTCTGCTAAAAATTGACAAGAATGAAAAATTCCTTTTGCTGCCTCTGCATTCATTGAATCGGTATATTTTCCTGAGCACTCATGATGTGCCAAGAGCAAGGGCTATAGGCTGAGCAAGATGCAAGATTTACTCTCAAAAAGACCAGACAGAACAGGCATTTACTGAGCAGCCTCCGTGTCCCGGGCTCACACCTTGCATTATTCGCCCCTTAAAACAATCCTTTCTCATAGGCCTGGTCATCTCCACCTTGCCCGAGTGGAAAACGAGGTTCCAATATGTGGTGTTCGGAATTAACAGAGCTAAGGAAGGTGCTGGCTGGCTGCCTGACTCCCGTCTGCGTGTTCTTTTCATTTAGGCGTCACTGCCCACTGGGAGCTCCGGCTCTAGTGTCGTAGCCAACAAACTAAATAAGAGCCGGGCAAAATTGAGGCAAGAGGGCCTGGTGGAGAACGATCTCCCCAGCTTCTTCCCAGCTGCCCTGGACAATGCCTCACAGGTCAGACTTCAAAAGAATTTGTATGTTAAGTGGCCCTTCGCCATGCCTTCCTGTGCATATAGGAGAATGGTTTATTATAAAAGACTGTACATAAAATTTAGACAACAGGTTATATACAAAATTAAGAGAACATTCCACTTGAAAAAATGAAAAAGGTTGCTAGCTGATCACTAGTGATACTGAAATCATGTTTAAAATTAACAAAGGCAAAATGCATATACAACAGTCACATTGATTTGGTAGCAATAATGGCCTTTAATTTTCAGAAATAAATGTTCTGCACTAGTCTTACCATTTACTATGCTGTTACACGTCTGTAACGCCCAGTATATAACTGTAATTTGAAATCCAAACAAATCCTCAACACACAGGGTGTCCTTGTCAGGCTGCCTGACTTCCCACCCTTACCCTGCCGCTGCTGGCTGTGGGGGCTCCCCGCGCCCCCCCCCAGCTTGGTTTCTTCCTCTGTAAATGGTGATGGCATGGCAGGATTGTTGTAAGTAGTAAATGAGATGATGTTTACAGAGAGCGTGGCACTGAGCCTGGGTACTCAGCAGCCCCCTCATGGGCAGAAATCCCTGGGGGTGCACCCGAAAACCAATAGCCTTAGCTCCATGAGAACCTGGCACCACATTGGAAGCTACAATTTTCTCTGTAAAAACCCAGAACCTGAGTAATAATTCCATTCGATTAACCAGTACAATCTGCACCCTGGTTTTTTCAAGGAAAAGACTGTATTCCTGACACAGACCATCCCGGGCCTCTGCCCCCAGCTCTGTGCTCCCACCTTGAGCTTCATTATCACACACAGCAACACCAGGAGTCGTGAGTCAAAATCAGAGACACAATTTTGCCATATATGTGCAGAAAGAACCACATTCTTGTAGAGCTGAAAGCCGTGCTTAACATAATAATTCCAGATCATTTTCCTTAAAACAGGCATTCCCCCAAACTTCTTGATTTCATCTTTCTTTCCCTTTTACAAATCAGTACAAATTAAAGGTATGCTTCTGATTCAAGATGGTCATGTGAACATGAACATTTAACTCCCCACATTCTATCCACCCCATCCTGAAATGTTTCCAGGGCATTCCACCTGGAAATACACATGTAGGATAAATTTCAGCATTAACCCTGGAAAACAGGAAAAAGTGAGGTCCCTTTTCCAGGATAAAGGGCAAAGGGGATTGGACTAGAGGAAGGAGGACTTCCTTGGCATTTTCCCTATGGGAAGAAAACCCCAAAAGAGTACACTACCAACATGGAGGTAAGAGAGGGTGGAGGTCAGGATAATAAGGTCAATTGGGAAGTGCCCCCAATGCCAAAACCCTCCCTCCCAGAGCCAATAACCCCAGCAATGCCCACTGTTCTTTAAATTAAAACAAGGATGTGGGGCTTGTGGGTGGCTCAGTGGGTTGAGCCTCTGTCTTGGGTTCAGGTCATGGTCTCAGGGTCCTGGGATTGAGCCCCACGTCAGGCTCCTGCTCAGCGGGAAGCCTGCTTCCACCCCCACCCCCCACCCCCTGCCTGCCTCTCTGCCTACTTGTGATCTCTGTCAAATAAAAAAAATCTTTGGAACAAAAAAAAAAAAAAAAAAAAAAACAAGGATGACAACTACAACCAGAATACCCAGGCTCCCGGAGTCTCCTCTATATAAAGCCCAATGGTGACTGATCAGGTTCCAGGTGGCATCGTATTATGAGATACCAGTCCACTGCCCAAGAAATACTTGATATGTAATTTAACTGTTACCCAAATCTTGTTGGAAATGACTTTCATAGCATAATGTTTCCCATCCTCGTTTTTCTCAAGCCAGGCAGCTGCTCCATCCGGGTGGGAGGGGGGATCTCTTTCTTTGCTTGATAAATTTCCTAAATTCTTTCCAAACTAGTCCACACTGACCTTTGTTGTTTTCACTCAACTCATTCCCCTGACAGGTCTAGGTGATCAGATCAACAGACCTCACTTCCGTGGGGGTTGAGAAGTACTTTTCATCCACAAGTAAATGTTTGCCATTTGCAATGTCAGAACATACAAATTTCCTTCTTACCTGTAATACACTAAAAAGGCTCAAGAACTCAGCTAGAGAAGGAGGGAGGAACGTGGGAATACCCAAGAGGGTGATTTTGTTTCCTGTCACCAGGAAACCAGGAGAGTTGAACAGTTTCTCATGATTCCAAGACAAACACCTGAGATCTCGTTCTAGAAGACTTAGATCTCTGATTTTTTTAACATGATTGCCGAGGGAACAGGAAAGAGTCAAACATAGCTTAAATCCCGTGGGGGTTTTGGGGACGGGGTTTGTTTGTTTTTTGGTTTTTGTTTTTTATTTTTCCACTTTGCAGAGTGTGAATTTCAGAGGAACTTACAATTTGGCTAGAGATTTCAGCTTTTTTCCTTTTTTTTTTTCTTCTCTTGAAGCCAAGGTGAAACAAAGGCTTCCGTTTTGTTCTGTAAAAATCTCCCCCACAAACATCAAGAACACACATATAAATGCAAGCAGGTATTAGCACTAGATCATGCTGAGAATGTAAACCCAAACACAAAAACACCTTTATTTCCCAAATTGGCATGTCTTTTAAGTCCCGCTGTGATTTATGCACTGCAGGAAGGAGGATGTTAAAATGATGCTTTTCAACAAATTTTTATTTAGAGTTTGTAAAAGTAAACCAATACAAAAAGCGTGTTACCACAGGGCTATCTTAATCTCATAAAAGGATAAATAAAACAACTGAACTGTCAGGTATAACAAAGATACATTTGGGTGGCTTTGGGATTATTAAAGCTGATTTTATACCAAAGATGATGGCTTATAAGGTCAGTGGAAAAAAAGAATAAAGCTTGGCTGACCTTGACTTTTTAACTACAATGCTTGTTTTAGACCATAAATACAGCATCTCTGAAATACCTGATCCCATATCATATTTTCTTTCCCTATAGTTACTATACAATTACTATAATTACTATACAATTACTATACAATTCAAAAACCAACATGATTAAAAAATTTGAAATCAACAAATGTTACTTTGTGTAGCGGTTGAGATGTTATTTAGCACATATCGTGTTCTAGTGTTGCGTGTTTGTCATTCCCTTTTCCTCTCCCTCTTTTTCTACATTCATTAAGCTTAACTGAAGAGTTTTTATTTTATCTCCTGGTATTGCCTTCTGTTCTAGAATTCTTTGTTATTTTCATGGTTGCTTTAAAGTTTACATCCTCTATAAGATTTTTAGGATATAATGTATATGATATATATTATAGATCTGTATGAGATGTATGCCTTACATATGAGTATTTATGATCTGTATTATGTATCAGTACAGGATAAATATCCATATCTTATGTCATATATCTTTTCCAAAGCCTATCTTCGAGTGATAGTCTATCATTTCATGTACAGTTGAGAATCTTACAATAATGTTCTTCCATGTCTCCCCTGCCAGTCTTTATGCTGTTATTGTTATACATTTTATTTCTATATGTGATATAAACACCATATACACTGTTGTGATTTTTCTTTAAACAACTAATTATCTGGAGATAACTAAATAAGAAAAAATATATATTACTTACCCCTGTACCATTTCTTTCTTTTTTTCTTAAGACTATTTATTTATTTGACAGAGAGAGGGAGAACAAGCACAAGCAGGGGAATAGTGGAGGGAGAGGGAGAAGGAGGGTCCCCGCTGAGCAAGGAGCCCAACGCGGGGCTCAATCTCAGGACCCTGGACCCAGGACTCCGGGATCATGACCTGGGCCGAACACAGACGCTTAATCAAGTGAGCCATCCAGGCGTCCCATCCCTGTACCATTTCTGATGCTCTCCATTCTTTTGTATAGATTCCTACTTTCATCCGGTACCATCTTTCTGCTTGCAGGAAACCTCTGACTTGTCCGGTGCAGGTCTGCTGGTGATGGATTCTTTCAGCTTTGTATCTCTGTGTTTATTTTCGCTTTGTTTTTGACAGATATTTTTGTTCAGGTTAGAATTCTAGATCAACAGATCTTTCCTCTTAGTGCTCTAAGAGGCTGGCTCACTCTCTTCTCACTTATATTGTTTCCAGTGAGAAATCTGCTGTTACCTTTACCTGTGTCCCTCTCTACCTAACTCATCTTTTTACCCTTGGGTGCTTTCAAGACTTTTTTTTTTTTTCTCTAGCGCTGGTTTTGATCAATTTGGTCAAGATGTACCTTCGTGTAGTTTTCTTCAAACTCTCGGTGTGCTGGAGATTTTGTTGAGTTTCTCAGTTCTGTGGGTTTATAGTTTTTGTGTAATT